CAATATAAGAAACTAAAATATAAAAATGTTTGTTTTGAAGATTTAATAATTGTTAGTTAGCTCCATGGTAAGTTAGTTACGTTTTTGACCACATCTGTTAAATAGAAACTGTCATATAAACTAATGTTTATCGACGAATCATATTGTGGCCCTGAAAAGGGCCTTTTGTTTTCTTATTTAATTCTTGCTTCGTATCAAAATGGATAGATATTTAGATCGTACCTAAGCTCCTTAACATCATGAAGCAACGTTTTGCTCTTCGCACGCACTTCTCTTATATATGCAAGAAGTGCTTCATGTGCTTGCTCAGGACTTTCTTTGTGATCTATTTCAACTACTTCACAGCTTTTAGTAGAACTATTTGTGAATATATCAGCATCTTGTCTTCCGTTTAAATGGTTGACATTTATGTATTCTCCAGTATTGCTCCTGCATATTGCTAGCCCCACCGAAGTGACGTCTTGCTTTAATTCCTCAACTATCGTGGTTTTCGTAGAACTGGTGATGGTCGATGAAAATGCACTGTCTTGCGCCAAATGACTGAAGTCTTTGAACAGACCAGCTTTAGCTACACCGCTGAGAGCTCTTGCACGTAACATGCTCCTCACGCGGCCTTGTCTGAACCGGTCACCAGCGCGTATTCCGGAACCGCATCCAGGCTTCCTAGTTGGGACGAATTTACGTCCAACGCCACCACCACTGCGCATGTGTTCAGTGCCATTCAGGATGTTGTCAAAAACCATTTCGATTTTGTATCCCATTTTGATATAGAAGTTAGTATGTACTTTCAGTGAAAATAGTCGAAGTTAATGTGATGCACACTCAGCTACTGTCTGGACAGCAATAACTGACCATCAGCTAAAATTTCTTTTATATACCCACAGTGACAAAGGAACACGTTGGAGTGCCACCGTGGGAACCATAAAACAATGCATGTTAAACTTTGGCCCTTTTATTGTTTTGACCATTACCATAAGCTTCGCAATTTCTTAGAAAATAGTAATCACCTATTGTCCCGACTATGCGAATAGTTTAGTGATAAGGATTGTTAAAAATATGTTGAACCAATTTCGGAGATCGCAGTTTTAAAAATCATGTTTATCTTAGAACGCTGTGATTGATTGATCGATGTATCATCTATTATGTTATGAGACTCATGTAATAGGGGTGAGCCTATAGCTACATATCGGGCACAATTTCAGACTCCAAGCTACTACTGAGATTTTTTTTTACAAACCCAGTAATACTTTGCCCGACGAGATCCCTTCTCCGGCAGTCGAGCTTGCAACCGCTCGGCCAACGAGGTAAGCATATAAATACCATATTTTATTTACAAGTTTTCAATATTCTGGTTGCGGAACACAACATAATGTCCTACCATGCACCTGCAATAAGTCTTTCACTCCCGTGTCTCTTGTCTCTCGCTCGCACTCGTCGGAAAGATGTGAGTACATCTTTCACCAATTCCACCATTCACCAATGATGGACAATTAATAAAGAAGTGAGCAGTATTGTTAGTGTTCTTGAAATCGTAGTAACGGGGCTCGTTACTTAATGCGACAAATTATAGACGATATTTTGAACCAAAAACTATCGATAAATATTTGTGTTGACATAACTATAATCGCTTACAAAGAAAATATGAAGCTTTTAATAAATAGTGATTGTTAGTGTGGGACAATAGACCAAAGTCTAATTAGGTATAGATAGTAACTGATAAGGTTTTCAGAAAATATCCAAAATAATACCACTTTCAATTCCTAGTACTTAAACAATAGAGGACTAGTGCTTTGTTAGCGTGGGACATTAGACCAAAGTCTTATCAGGTAGTTCGCGGAAAAGTAACCGACCAATCAGCGCTCGAGTTGGAAGTTTGTCAACGGCCAGAAAATGTTTCGGGTAGAGAGAGATGTTCGCAAGTTAAAATAATTACGCAGTGGTTATTTTTAATTAAGGTTATCGATAACTTGCTATATCTATACAGGGTGACTTGTAACTCGACGTATTTCTCCAAGGAAGTGATAATGCAACTAATTTCCTACAAAATTAGTCCCGAGGTCTCAGGCCCGAAAATGGCTAGTTTCTGAGATATTTAACATTTTCAGTTTCGGTGAAAAGATCCCGATCAAACTATAAAAAGATCAATAAATAAAAAACTACTTGTTCGATTTAAGTAATTTTAGTTTTAATTTGTTGACAATACTCCAATAAACATTCATTAAAACTAATACTGGGAGATATATCATTCGTTTTAAAAAACCAAGTAAATTAGTATCAAAATTTGATTTAAGTCACTAATTTGGTCAATAGAAAACTGCTTTTAGTTTAAAAAATTATATTACACTAAGCGTACAAACTATTAGACAAACTTCCTTGGTTTATTAACTACCCAAAATACTTAATTATTTATAAAATTCACAAAACCGAATTCATTACTTGATGATAAGTTAGGTGTGAAGCAAGCAATTTCAAAAACGTAATTTTCAAAATTCGGTTCAAAGTGATCTTTCCTATGATGAGTATATGGCGGTCGTTTTCTTCAGCTGCTTCCTAAAACAATATTTAATTGAAAATGTCATATTTTTGAGAAAAAAGTTCCCCAGGGCTCTTTGTAGGACCAACCCAGATTTTACTATCAGTTTTGTATCATTATCATCATCAACAACCTGTTTTCGTCCACTGCTGGACATAAGCCTCTCAAATGGCAGCTTTGTATGTTTTTGGCATAAAATAAGACAAATTTTCTCACTTAAGTTATACTCAATACACCTGTATTGTATTTGGTTAACACTTATATATTATCCAAATATACCATTGGGGGTCGAGTTAGACATTATTAAGATTTAATTATCGTTTAGGAAATGTGTGTAATTGTGTATGTATGTAGATTCATTTTAACCCACTAAATATTTACTTTTGTGTATAAAGCTATATAATGCAACAAATCAAATACTTTTTTATTCAATTAATCCATTTATTTATGAAATTCATTACAATAACAAAAGTATCTATAATTAGCTTTAATTATAATACAATAATAAATTACAATTTCTTTAACATTTCATATGGACAATATTATTTACTATCAAACTTAATTTTACACAAAAAGTCACAAATTATTACTAAATTACAAACTTATTACTATCAGTACAAGGTATTTTATCTTAGCTACAAGGTTCTACAAAGTATTACATATAAAATAATTATTATACTAATTATTTACAATACTTCAAGCAAGTGACAATGATATATTAAAACGGATAGACCCTGAGATCATATCGAAACTGCTTCACATCTTGAAGTAGTTTCTTGCTTCTCGCACGTATCGCTTTGATGTCTGCTAGAAGCTCTTCTTGGAACTGCTTAGGACACTTTCGATGATATCCTTCAATTTCTTCATCACAGCTGCGAGGAGCACTACCGCAGGATACAGTAACATTATTTGTAGCTTCACCACTTAAGCTGTCCATTGCTGTCCCCACTGAAGTTGTGTCTTTCTCAACATCATTCGTGGGACCGCTAGTGGTAGAAGAAATGACACTGTCTTGAATCACTTGACCAAAGTCATTGAACAAGACATGTGTCCATGCGCTGTTAATATACGCTGAGTAATTTGTGGTCTTCGTAATGCCACTGAGCGCTCTTCTGTGCAACATGCTCCTGACGCCACCACGTCGGAATCGGTCACCGGCGCGTGCTCCAGGACCGCTACTAGGCTTTCCAATTGGGATGAATTTTCGTCCAATACCACAACCACTTTGTGTGTTTTCTGTATCATTTAAGATATTGTCGAAGTTTGTTTTATTTTCGTAACTCATCTTGATATGTTATTAAAATAATTCAGGATAAACAATTTACCGATCACTAAAAGACTACTGGTCGTGTCAATGATACGTTAAGAACTGACTGTTTGGCACATAAAATTTCGTTTAAATACCCACTGTGACAAAACAAAATGTTAGAGTGAAGAGTGCCACCGTGGGAACCTTAGTGCAATGCGTGTTAAAAATTAGCCCTTTTATTGTTTTGACAGCTTTGGGATTCCTTAGAAAATAGTAATCACCTATTGTCCTGAGTATGTGAATAGTTTACTGATAAGGATTGTTAAAACTATTTTAAATCAATTTAAATCAATTGAAAATAGTTTAGTATTACAACAAGCTTCTCAGAATTGGATTGCTGTATATTTATTTTATCCATATATGTCCTTACAGTTGCTTGATATGTATGATATTTATACTATGCCATTTTGAAAAGCAAAATAAATGTAAATGTTTGTAACTGATATTGGAATCAATATATGTTTTGTTCGTATGATCCGTCTACTGCAGCCACGTTCTTGCCCATGAAAATAAAACTATTGTAACAACATAATAAATCTAGGTAGAAACTGTTTTTAAGGGACGCTACGAAACCAAAATGGGGACGGGGTTAACTGTATCACATTGGATTCAACACAAACTCTGATCAAGAGCTCAGTGAAGCCAACTCAAAGTAAAAGTCATTTATTTCAAATAAACAATAATTTGGTACGTTTGAAACGTTAAAAAACTTAAAATAAATAACAGTCTGTCCGTCAGTGACACTAGGTTTCTTCTAAGCTAGGGTTATTTTAAAACATGTTGCTACCCAATGGAAAAGAGCAAGCTGGAATCTTCGCCGCTATAAACTATAAATTTGCCATTACCTAACTGCGATCTTGAAGCCGACTGCCTACATGAAGACAGACCACGACTAAGGGAATAACTAGAGCAAAGAATGAAATGTCTTTACATGGATTATTTGAAATAAATTCAAGTAATTCGTATGAACACACCCCTGAAAGGTCCAAATAGAAAGTAGATCATTAAGAGCCTGACGCTCTCTGTCGCGTCACCCAAGGTTTGAGAAGTCATTGTGTGATTTTTCTCTGTGGTGAAGAAGCATGGGGGTTACGACAAACCTTCTCTTAATAAGATGTTCTTTACTCAGAAGTAGATCTATCCTGGCTGATGATAGTTTCATTATGACCTTGGCACCCTTACCCAGATTGAGTGTCCCTGGGTTGGACGGCGCTGCTGGGCGCGCTACTGCTGCTGACGCTGGCAGACCGCGAGGATCTCTGGTGCTGCACAGGATCGAGTGGTCCACTCTGCTTTTCTTCGCCGCGCTCTTTGTGCTTATGGAGGTATATGTAGAACTATTGATGCTTACACGAGTTTCCTGCTGTGAACTGCTAAGTCTGTCTATTATCCAGAAGGATACATCTTGGGTGTCTACAAACAAGTCTCAAGTTAAGTCAAGTTCATATAGGCACATTATCGACATTATCTGACTACTGTCAAGCCTGGTGGTTAGCGATGATGCGGCTTACCATGGAGTACGCCTACCTATAAATTACCTTTTTACTCATGCTCTGAAGACTCCCACGGATAATTATTTAGCGATTTTACATATTTCTTTAAAAAAACTTATATGTTAGTTTTATATCTCTTTAACCGACTTCACTGTTTCAGACTTTGTCCAAATTAGGGCTGATTGGCTACATCGGAGGCTGGACAGAAGCTCTTATACTTCGAGTAGATGAAAGTGATCGATTGGCTGTAGCCCTTATCATAATGATCTGGGTAAGTTAAACATTATCATCTAATATTTGCTACGGATGTTCGTAGCGCTTGCTACGGAAGTTCGTAGCGCTTGCTACGGAAGTTCGTAGCGCAAACTACGAAATTTCGTAGCTACTGCTACATGATGCCGTAGCGGAGTTAAAACTAGATATTGTTTCCTGTAGTATGAACTTCCCTTATATAACTCTTGGCTATATTGTGTATTATTAGCATCATTACCATCATCAGCAGTCTCTGAGTCCACTGCTAGACTATACGGCTGCTGTTCAAATTAATGGGTTGAGTTTATCACAGAACATTGCTGTTTAGGTTTAGGGTGGTTTAGTTAGTCTTAGTTATAAAGATTTTTCTGCAGGTATCTGGTATAACATCAGCGTTTGTGGACAACGTACCTCTGACTACTATGATGGTTCGAGTTGTGACGTCATTGGGCACCCATCCTACGCTTAACCTGCCCATGGAACCGCTTATATGGGTGTTATCCTTCGGCGTCTGTTTGGGAGGCGAGTTTTTATACAACTTTATAACTGGGGAATGCGTCGCTCACGAATGATCCGAAATCTTTGTATTCAAAAGTTGAGCCATGGAAGACTTCAATATGGGTTTGCCTTCAAAAATTATCTACCACCAATCAATTGGTTAAATTCTGGACATTAGTTCTATTGAGGATCCGAGACAAGTTCATTATTATTTATTTATTCATTTACAGATACATGCATTTAACTTATTACTAAGCATCGCAAAACTCTTTAATAGTTTGTTGGCGAAATCTACATAAACAATAGAAGACTAGTGCATTGTTAGCGTGGGATAAAAACCAAAGTCTTATCAGTAGATATTTCACAAATAGTTACCGACCAATCAGCGCACGAGCTTGATGCTTGACGACGCCCATGAAATAATATTTAGGGAGGGGAGAAGTTACAATTGTTCAATGAGTCAAATTCCACTTGCCAAGGAGCCAGTGCCTGTCCTGTCGTCGACACGAACAGTCGTCTATCGGTAGTCGGACATTTGTTGTTGTGTGATACCGTTCCACAGTACTTGATCCGGGTGCGCTAGCGAATTGTTTATTTTTTACAAACATCAAGATGAATTCGGCAGCTTCAGACCAACCAGAGATGTGCTCAGTTACCTCTAAAGAGGTACCAAACGAACACACATTCGCGGTGCCAGCATTGCCACCAGTCAAAAGAATTGTTAAGAAGAAACAAATAATTAGAAGTCTAGCTGGTGATAAATCCTGTGGTGCTACTAGTACCTGTAGTGAAGGACGGATCACATATGAACAATATCGTCGAAAGTGTCCCAAGCAACTGCAGGAAGACTTCCTAGCTTATATTAAAGCGAGGCGTACTCAGAGTTAAAACTCTATTTTAGATACGATCTAAGGATCTACCTAAAAACAAAAGGCCCTTTTCAGGGCCACAATATGATTTGTCAGAGTTTCTATGTAACAGATGTAGTCAAAAACGTAACCAGCTTATTGGGGGCCTATTATTAAATCTTATTTTAGTTTGTTATAATTTTAATTTTTCAGCAGTATCGTGGTTAAAGTAATTGGTAACGACAGCGTCTATAGCTAAGTTATTACAATTGAAAGGTGGACTGTATCTACAGTAATACAAGTATTTATTTCTATGACAATTGACAACATTCGTAAAAGAATTTGACATGTCGACTCTGCTCTCGAAGGACACTGGAGTTTAAGTGTCTTGTCGCATTCGCCGCACTAGATAAGTCACATCGTCGTGCGTACGTGCAACAGGCCACGTAATCCGCATACGATTACTTAGCTGCCGTGAAGTTCAATGAATGAAATGCAGATCAATTAGTAAAAAGTTTGTTATTATTTTTACATTTTATTTATTTTAAAAAGGAATCGTTCATGTTTCTTTAACAATATTTACCACTAACATAGAAAATACTATAACTTCTAATATTGTAACAAAAGAAAATTAGTGCTTTTTTATTTCTTCTTCACAAAACATAACAATGAATGACGGACTTATAATACCTTTTTAAGGGGAGAAAATTATCGAATGACTGTTCCCGCCTGGGTGAGGCGGTAGGGAGTATCAGACTCTTACTGACTAAAAACCACCCCGTTCCTACTCCTGCCTACCTTCGAGCGGGAGCCCCGGTAACCAGTTAAGTCCTCCGCGGCGGGCTTAATGCCATAAGGCATCTTATAATCGTAGAACCAAACCGAACAAAGTCTTCACATTAAATACTCTGAAGCAAGCTACAGCCGCTGTTGCCACTATCCATGATCGTGTTTTCTTCATTTATCGAACCTAATTGCTCCTGGTGTCACTGGCTCAGGAGGAACATCTCTGAAGGTTGAGACGACGTTTCTTCGATTCAGTTTATCAAAATTATTACCCGTGTTGTTAATAAATTTCCACGCGTTGGTAACATGGCTGGCACGTCACATTACCATTATATTCGTTTTTATTGAAGTTATTACCCCATTTCTCTTGAAGCAACTTTAAGTCCCAAAAAAAATCATACGTTAATTCTTGAACATCCAACGGTTTTAAATTTTTTCGCGAATTTTTTATTAAAGTGACGTATTGACAAGGTGCATTATGGGCCTAGCTTTTTTATTTCTTTGAATTTCTTTTTCAATGAGACTGTGCACATTGTCCCCCTCATTTTGGGTATAACCCCTTATTTAGTACATTTGTGTTATCGACTCGATGTTTTTGAAATGTGTTTTCTATGTAAGTGCTAATTTAAGTTTAATAATTCCTTTACAAAAATGAAATTAAAATGTAAAAATAATAACTAATTCATTAAATTAAGTTGAATGCATCTAAGACATCGTATGCGGCCTGCGTGACTTGTCACACGTACGCACGACGACGTCTCGAGTGCAGTGGTGGTGACAAGGCACTTAAACTAACTCCAATGTCCTTTGAAAGCAGAATCGAAGTGTCAAATTCTGTAACTAATATTATCAATTTTCAAATAAATAATTACTACAAGTAATTACAGTCGTATACCGTATATACAGTCATTCTTTCATTTATAACAACTGAGCTATAGAGGTTGTAATTACCAACCATCTTAACCACGAAACTGTCGATTCGCACGTACTGCGGTTGTAAAACTTGAAACCACCCGCGATATTTTCAACCTTAACTCCTAAGACAGAGTACTTTATGAATTAGGTACAATTTGTAACCGTAGTGAAGGTGAAACATTTGTTGCTGTAAAAAACCACAAGTACAGTTGCTTATATCAGTTACCTTGTTTCAAAAAAAAACACAAGCTGTTAAAACTACTGCGGTTCAGCCCATGAGTAGACCGAAGGATTACGCCGCGGCGGTCAACAATCTGTCACTGAAATGAAGTCGGAAAGATTTTATAAGAAGTCTAAATTATAATTTCACAAAACAAAACAAGACGAAAATGTTAGAGACTAGCGCATAAATAAAAATTATGCCAAACTAAAATAAGATTTAATAATAGGTTAGTTAGCTCCAAGGTAAGTTAGTTACGTTTTTGACCACATCTGTTAAATAGAAACTGTCATATAAACTAATGTTTATCGACGAATCATATTGTGGCCCTGAAAAGGGCCTTTTGTTTTAAGAATTCGATGCGACGTGGCCCATGCACGCGACACAACTTGAAGTTTTCAGACGACCTTTATCGCCTCCCGGGGTCACGGATGACTCCAACACTTCTACTTCCTCAGTATCCAGCTTAGCCTTGACTTCCTTTCTCTTCATTTTCTCTCCTCTTTGCCTCTAAGTAAGCCACAATTATTGCATCCATTGTGGCTTGTGACAAAATCATGTCTTCAGGGGATGGTGACCTCCACTCCATTTTGCTGCACGTATCCTCCGATTCGAAGTGCCACTCTGTACGTTCAACAGGTGTCATTACGGATGGTACAGGTGCCATGCTTTTATGTCTCGAAAAATTTTTGAATTTACTGCCGTCGCTATTTGTTACGCAACTGCGTGCAGTTGAAAGACAGAAGTCATGTTTTGCACCGCTGTTAGACATGTTCAACAAGCTTTTTAGTTAGGTTATTCGAAAATTACTTTTACTTCACAGACGACTGTTCGCGTCAACTACAAGTCGAGTACTGACGCCTCGGCAATTGTGATTTGGTTGGCCAATTTTAACAAAGATAAAAATTGGAGTGGGGGAAGCCACTGCCAAGCAAATGCGTGTAGTAATTTACTATGAAAACTGTTACTTATGAAAATACCACTCGTGGGAACCATAAAATAACCCATTTGAGTATTTATTTTTGTTTCTATCTCTCTCTCTTCTTTTGTTTGAATTCGTATTGTTTTGAGTTTAAGCTTTCCACTTCCTTTGTCAGTAGTAATTACTTATTATCTTGGCTGTTGAAATATTTTATTGTCTCGATGATTTTTTTATTGTCATGGTTTTACAGTTCCGAAGTTTAGTCGAATCACGTATCTTAATTGTTAAAAAAGGAAGAAATGTTCATAATTATTTTAAACGTATTATCATTTATCATTATGGTTTTAATTAAATACTCAAGAGGTCTTGCATAATTTTATCAGCACCTCCATGACCGGAACCGTTATACCGATTATCTGATCTAATACTGCTGCCGCCACTGACTCAGTAGGTTTAGTTCTGATGACTGGGATAACATTTCTATGATTCAATACAACTTTAAGGATTTTACACCTTCTTTACGTCGGAATATTGAAGTACTACTCAATTTTATGTTGTACTTAAATATCGTGCTGTGTTAGAAACCAAACCAAGGAGACGATGCGCGCTTTTGTCGTCACACCGGGTTCAAGCTTTACGTCAGCTAAGTCATCGTATGCGACCTACGTGACCTGTCGCATGTAAGTACGCACGACGACGCTTCGTGTGCGACGTGACGGTGGCGTCAAGCCACATAAACTCCGGTCTTCTTTGAGAGCAGAGTCGACATGTCAAACTTTTAAACTAATGTCATTAGTAATACAATATTTTTCTACTACTTTTACTAATATAATTTTAAAATGTTAGAGATTCAAAGAAAACTCAAAAAATAAAATTATACTAAACTAAGTAACGAACACTTTTTCGAAGATTTAATAATGGGTTCTTAGCTCCCAATAAGATGGTTACGTTTTTGACTACATCTGTTACATAGAAACTGTCATATAAACAAATGTTTGTCGACGAATCATATTGGGGCCCTGAAAAGGGCCTTTTGTTTTAAGAATGCGATGCGGTGGGTGCTTTCCACGTCTGCTCCTAGCATCATCATAGTCTAAGCTGCTCGAAGTCACGAAGCAGTTTTTGACTCTTCACCCGTATTTCTACTTTCTTCAGTAAATCTGTCAGTCGTCCACGTGACATAGGACGCACTCCTTGATCTGCTCGCCCATGGAGCAAGCTACAGCTGCTGTTGTTACCATCCTTGTTCGTATTTTCATTATCAATCTGATCTATTGCTGCCGCTGCCATTGACTTAGTAGGATCAGTTCTGATGGTTTGGACGACATTTCTTCTATACAGTTCACCAAAATTATTTCTTGCGTAGTTAATAAATTTCCATGCGTTGGTAACATGGCTCGCTGAGTGCTTCGTAGGTTTCGTTATACCACCATTCTTTG